TATATCGACTATTTAGTAAGAAAAAGAACAGTATATGCATAATAATTTGGAACACAGTGTAGATAAAAACAGCTCATTCTAAGGTAACAAAAACACAATGAGTCCTACATTCAGGTGATTATATACTGAATGAAAACATACATATGTATGTTATATTTCTATTTCTGACAATAGATCCTCCTAAATGTTACACACTGGACCTTTCACAGGCAAAAACCTCGCCAGTACAACATGACCGGCCGTGACTTCAAACCTGGTAAGACCACATACAAACCAGGACCTGGTACACAGTATCCTAAACAGCTTAGAGGCCTCGTTATGTCTTTATTTATCATCACAAAGGCCATAAATATTTATTTATAGTATTTTGTTCACATTTTTCTCTTCCTAGCAAATGCTCAAAGCTTCTACCTTTGACTGCGTACAACAATAAAATTGTCACTTTTCTTTCCATACTTTATATACCTACTTCAGTAGGTTAAATGCAGTAATTTTACTTTTATATTATTATATTGTTACTTTAAAGGATCTGAGTACTTCTTCCACCACTGAAAATGAGCAGAGGTATCATCCCTAACTACACAAACTCAGGTTAGGGCAAGTAGAGAATTCTCATTTTCTGCTTCCTTGTATTTCAACAGCATCCACTCCACTGACTGCAGCAACAGCAGTGCAGTTGCACACGCTTTGGCCAGCAGAGGGCGCTGAATATCCACGTTGGACATGCTCCTCAAACCGAGCTCTCACCTCTGCCAAACAGCTTGTAAAAGTCAGCCAGCCAGCAAATCAGACAGGTAACCAGCCAGTTTAAACAGTGAGTCATAGGATGCCTGTTATATGAGGCCGGTTGGCTGCTGATCAGATTCCTTAATGACAGTAAAGAGCACCCTGCAGTCTGCCAGGGGATTAATGAATAAGGTAAAATGTTCAAATGATCTACATCTGAGGGGAGAACAAGTTCCACCTGGTGGGAGAGAGGGGTGAGGTGAAGGTGTAGAAAATGGTGGGCGGTAGACAGAGAGAGGGGAGGAAAAGGAGGGAGAAAGAAAATATGGGAGAAGAAGGAAAAGAGTGGAAAGGCACAAAAGGGAAGGATGAGGGGAAGGACACAGGAGAGGAGTAGGGGTGCGAAGGAGAAAGAGAGAGAGAGGGATGGAGAAAAGTGATGAGAGGGGGGAGGAGGAGGAGGAGAAGGAGGAGGAGGAGAGGGAGGAGCAGAGGAGCAGAGGAGAGGCAGGGCGCTCAGTCTGTTTGCTCACAGGAGGAATCAGCAGCAGGACAATGGACTGTCTCCACCACGGATCCTAACGGGCACCGGGCTGTTTCAGCGGAATATAAGGTACGGTTGACAGAGCGAAGCGGCGCACACAGTCTCTCTGTGTTTTTCTCGGTTTAAGCTGCCGGAAAATGTTCCGTTTGTGTCTGAAAAGGAGCTGCTGCAGGAAGGAAGCGACGCAGCGCAGCAGACAGACACCCAGCAGGGCCTGCCGTCCGTCTGCCGTCCGTCTGCCTCTGGCTCCCGGACCGACCGGTGACACGTTACAACCCAGGCTCAACTGTAACTGCTCACTGTTGGCGTTTGTGTGTGCTGTACGTGTTAAATCAAGGCGGAAAAAAACACATCCGGAAAGCCACAGCCGCGTTCTCTCTTCTCCAGAAAGAACGTCACGCCGGACTCCCTTACAAATCTTAGTGTTTTTACTTCCTGTGCTTACATGCTGAAGTAAACACATCTAAGGATATGAACTAATGTTTCTGTGGATACCCTGAGGCCTTCTGGAGATTTCGGCTTATGAATGATTTATCATACCTTTTTTAATTCAAATTAAAATCCAGTCTCAAAGTGCGAGCACAGTGCGCGTCGCCTTCCGCTAAGGTTTATTTTGACGGAAGGGAAATAGGGGGACAACAAGCGAACCACAAAAAACAGTTGACCTTTTTACTGTAGTTAACGCTGCTCTGTGCATTACATGACCGCCGAATTAACGCGTGGCTCATGGTGATTCACAGTAGCTGTTGATTGTATTCGTTTACAATACATTTTTGCTCTAAAGGAAACGGCACAATAAAAAATGTGTTTTTGGATGGAAGTCCGGAGCTAGCGGCATATGTTATGCCAACAAAGCCTCTCTCTCGCCAGCAAGCAACAGCAGGAGCACGCAGTGTGTGTCTGCCAGATTGAACCGTTACACTAGGCCAGGCCTGGGAGTCTCCTCCACAGATGCAGGGATTGTGGTGTGGATAGATGGAGTCATTGTAGTTTCCATAATGTGCCTTCTGTTGAAGACTGCGCCCGTGACGCACATAGACACGCAGAGATAGGGAGATGCTGTGCAGGCATGGAGACTTAAGGACTTATTACTCATGTCTGAACGGGCAGCGTATTACCATGTTGCTGCAGAAGCATCTACAGCAGAGGCTGCAGTGTCTGTCTGTCTGCACACAAACAGACAGATGTGACTGCTTGCACAGAGCTCCAGTTCTCAGTGTTACAGTATTGGAAGGTCATTTTTGCCATGCTAACCACCCAAACACTTCACACATGTCATTTAGAAAAGCGCAGGCTGCTGTTTGTGTGGTGTAGGCTGTATTTAGTGAAGGGAGGGGCTGTTCAGGGACCTCCCATCAATAGATTATAAGCAGATATTTTAAATATCCTCAGGGGAAGATTCACAAGTCAATAGTCAATTTACCTCCATATGCCGAGGATTATTGGTGCAGGCAGTGGCTGTGCCCTGATGTTTTTGTTTGAGCTTATATTGACCTGACTGAGACAGTGTGTGTTTGTGGGAGTAGGGCGGCAGCTCTGGGTAAACAACACATTTAAATGTAGTTAGATAAGTCCGTATGGACAGAAGTGATTGCGGTAACAGGCAGGTCAAAGGAACTGAGGCAAATCAGTGATAAGGATGTTCAAGATAGGGGCAAGTGGGGCACTGACTTATGCAGGGGTGGCTGGAAGAACACTGTTCATATATACCTCCAGTATGCAGAAATATTCAAATACACTAGGCAAAAAGAGCACATTTATACCACATGCATGTCCAAAACTGTATGGGATTAGCATAACGTCAGTATGACTTGTGGGTAGAACCCATTTTCAGATATCTTGAGTTCAGAGGTCAAAGGATCCCTTTGAAAATGGCCATGCCAGCTTTTACATTGCCAAAATTAGCCTAAATCATCCATATGTTTCATATGATACCAGTATCTTCAGCTTTAAAACAGAGCCCGCTGCAGCCTCTGTAAGAGTGAAAGAGGTAAGGATAATGGGGTGACCAATCAGATTTCCACCCCAGGCTAAGGACACGGCCCTGGTTCTCGACTGGGAGCGTCATACTGTATTTTTTAATTACTTTTGCACATGGTTTTTGGGTCAGGTGGGAGTGAAGCCCTTCACCTAATAGTGGCCTGATGTTTGAAAATGTTCCTATCCTCTAACAGGACAACCAAGCGCAGTGAGAACCAAGCGCAAAGGATTAGGGGCAGCAGGAGACAGATGTTGCTTTTGGATAGACGGGGAGTTGAAATGAAATCCGGGCTGATGCTCGTACTGCGTTCAGCTATTTTCCCTCCACTGGTAGGAACACCAACGGAGAGGGGATGCGTAGTCCGTCACGCTGAGCTGGAGCTGTGGAGGCTGGAGTCAGATTTTGTCTGTTGTGTTGCATTATTAGCTCTGTGTGTGTGTGTGTGTGTGTGTGTGTGTGTGTGTGTGTGTGTGTAAAGGTTATATGCTTTACATTGGATTTGCTCACTTAAGTTCACATGATCAGTGTGTGAGAATCTACTATTTGGCAAGACTGTCACAAGACAGCCTGTGGTCGCATTGTGTGTGTGTGTGTGTGTGTGTGTGTGTGTTTGTCCCATTGTGGTCAGATGAGCCATCTAGAGTCACTGTGGGACGAGGCAGGGACATGAACCGTCTTTTCATACACTTTAGTTTTACCTCCCTAAATAAAGACAGTTTCATCCAACCCAACGTCCAATCAGCATGCAGATCGTTAGCGTTGCCATAGGGAAAGATGTAAACTAGCTTACAAACAATTACACGATCCAACATGTTTTATCCTCTTGCTGCTCAGATGCATGTTGCAGCATATTGTTGCACAGTGTCTGCATTATAGTTGCTAGTATCTGCGATGATTGAGTGAAACTGTTTTCACTGAATTGATGTTATTTTCATTATTTTTTGAGCAACAATGCCAGATTTCCTAGTTTCAGAGTTTGCTTTGTCTTATATGACTTATTGGTTGGACTTTTGTTCACTCAGAAGCAAACAGTTTTTGTGATAACTTTGGTGATCCTTTTCCTCTTGTGCCACCATGAGTTAGCTAATTATGGCTTTGAGATAAATGTTTTAACCACTATTGTAGGAATTGCCAGGAAAAATGTGTTCCTTCCTTATGACCAAAAACCTGCAGTGCTAATGACATTCCTGCTAGCCTCAGTTGTACTTTGTGTTTAGTGCTAATTAGCAAGTGTTTGCACGCTAACCACTGACAGTATATATAGTGGACAGAGCTTCTGGGTCTGTGAAGTGAAGCCAAGCTGAGTTTCAGTCTTCTCCCATACAGCATGATGTTCATTTAGTAAATGATCGTCCCATTTAGAGTAAAATGATTGATTGATTGATTGATTGATTGACAGGTCATTCTCATTGAGTCCGTCTAGCTCAACACACCAAACTCAGATCAAACTGTCGAACTAGGCAGTGCTGATCAAATATGGATCCAGATTCTGTTACTGTGTTGACTGTTTCTCTCCTAAAATCTTTTTAGAAACATATTTTAGTGTACTGTTAGCTATGAATATTATATCCCATTTCTGACAATAGATCCTCCTAAATGTTACACACTGGACCTTAAATGGTCCAAAATGGTCTCGTTGCTGCATTGAAGGTTGTTTGTTGTTTTACGTCATTGCTGGATCTTTACCACAGATGCTGGGACTTTCATCCTGACACAACCACAGATCTCAAAAGCCACTGGAAAATGTCACTGCTTTATGTACCAGGTTGTTTAGGTCAAAAACTCTTAATGATTTGGTGAGGGCGAACAAAACACACCATCAATTAACAATGACATCACATGAAGATGACATTGTGGGGCACCCTCATTTGGGTCTCTTTGTTCTAAACCGCGGTGGAAAATATGACTTACGTGTTTGGCATGTTTGGGTAAGAACAATTACACGGGCAAGGCTGTACACTATCAAACTACTTCATACTGTGTTTGTTTTGTATTGAGCAGTGTTTGAATCAAAGAAAGAACACGTTGCATCATTGTGACAACTTAAAACAGTCGGTATGAATCTTCACACCTCAGCTGTGAATTTTCACACAAATCCCACAGTCTGTTAAAAAAGAGATATGTCTCTGACTCAGTCCACATTCGATTAAGTAATCGTCTGAGTTGCAAAACACATTTATTTTTCATTTAACCTTTAAAGTGGTAAGCAGCTATATCCTATAATAATCTATAATATTTTATTAGCCCTCCTTGCTGTGGTGCTCTGCTGTTGGATGTGGGGCTGAAGCAGTGAATTTCTTGTTGATGAAGTTTATGTTTCTCTAGTTGATGTTCATTTTTTGGCCATGTTGGCTATCGCTGCTCATGCTGATTATTCAGTTCTTCTTATTCACATAGACTGTATGGGTACTCCAGACAAACCAACACATTGCTTTTAACAAGCTACCACTGTTACCATTGTTGAGGTTGCAGATAACCAGCAGAGACTCGAGGAAGTGACTACTCCCAGCCAAAATACTTTCCTGGCTCATATTAACCCTTCATAAAACCACAGCATGCCAGTTTTACACCCTTTTATATGGATTAAAGCTGCAGTAGGTAACTTTTATAAAAATAACTTTTTGTCATATTCACTGAAACTTTCACTATATCCTGACAGAAGAACATGAGACAGATCATCTGTGAAACAATCAGCTTCCTCTGGCTCCTCCTAGTGAGCCGAGAAAAGATATTTGACCTGGGAATGAGAACAATCAGGTGAGATAGATGATTGTTGAGTCTCCCAAAGCTTCTGTATATATAAAAAGACCACCCATAAGCTAACATTGAAGGAAGCAGCTGTAAAACGGTGAAACGATAAAAGATTTAGCGTCACAAATCCCACAAAAGGACTTAGAAATCAGAATTTGATTCGTTCAATCAGGTAATATTTGGAGGTAGCTACTTAAGTCCTTTTATCCCCAATCAAGTTAGCGGAGAGCTAAAGCGGAAGGTAGCTAGCAGAAGATGCTGCTGTGCTTCCTCCATGGGCCACATGATGCTTTGTATTTACGTTTTCATGCTGAGTGGTATTGATCTTCTCAGCTCAACTTATTTCCTAAAACGTTGAACTATTCCTTTAATGTTTGGGGTCAAGTTTTCTTTCTTGAGTTTTGTAAACTAGTTACAAAACTGCTAGCATGACCTCAGATTATTGAAAATCGACAGCTAGTAAAGAAAACAAGCTGAAAGCGGCCATAGTTGATGCTATTTTTCTTATATCAAATTGAGGAAATGCACATTTAGAAATTGTAGAAATGAAGCCTGATGAAAACAACGTCACTTTCTGATCTGACAGCACGTCAGCTATTTGATGTCATGTTCGGCAATAGATTTAGTCATTTTCTGCTTTTATTTTTCAATCAAAAATTTAAACCCAACAATGTTTTCTCCCCTGTTTTCTGTCTGCTGCAGGTTCTAATGATTATGTTCATTAATAACCTTATTTTCTTGTTTAATTAATCCATATAAAATGCCAGCAAATGGTGAAAATGCTCATCACAATTTCCTAAAGCCCAATTTAATCTATCAAACAATTTGCTTCGTCCAACTGTACTAAATCCAAGGCTGTAGAATCATAGAAAACCAACAAATATTCACATTTGAGAAGCTGGAGCTTGTGATTTTTTATTTTTTTTGCATTTTTGATGAAAAACCTACTGAATGTGGTACTCCAGAGACTTGATTTCCATAAAGTAGGGGCACTTAAAACAGAGAGTTTTTTTTAAAATTCATATAATTGAAATGGAAGCGGCAGAGGCAGACAGAAACTGACTTTAAGTCCAAAAATATTGGATCAAACTTCTCCTATAATGCAACTCAAATGGATTTATGAAATCTCAACACATCATCGAATCATCGCAGTTATTTTCTTAGAGTTGAGAAAGGTTGAAATGTTGTATGTGGATTAAGATTTCCTTAATGTGTAGTAAACCGCCATGTACATTAGTCTAGTTCAGTGATCCTCACTATTTTTTTCACAAGAGCTGCATTGGCAGAGCAAAATCAAGGGGACAGCCACTTTTACGACAACATACCAACTCACCTTTGCAAATGTGCATTTCTACATATAAATTGGACATCCCACAAAAAAAGAAACAACACAGCCAATAC